AATTTCAACATATAATTCAGTGAAATTGAAGTTGTGTAACATTTCTTGAATTGTTCCTTATAATTCCTGACCAACAACCACCCTCTAATTCCATGTTAGCTATAAGATTTAAACAGATAATCTTTCATCAGGTAACTTTTCTGGGAGGAAAGCTTCTTAAGTAATTTTAAGTAATTATTATATCTTCAAAGCAAGGTGCCTCAGTGTCATGTTATTAAACAGTTATCTATTAACCCAAAGGTTGGTGGATTAGTGGGTCAAGCTCACTGGAAGCTTTATAGAAAACCACAAGACTCTCTGTTCTTGTAAAGGTTTGCCAGAGAGGGAACCCTTTGGCAGTAGTTCTACTGTGTTTGATGTAGTGATGAGTTAGAATCAACTTTATGTCATCCAGCAATGACAGATTGTTCAAAGCAGTGTTTTTGGTTCTGCGACAGATAGAAAGAACTCCTTGCTTTCACAAAAGATTTTTTCTTTTTATAAATAAGTTGGGTACATGCCATAATTTATTAGTTTTAGAAGATTTGCATAACTATGTAAGATTTTAAGAGAATTTACATTAAAAGTTAAAAAATACATTGCTAATGGTCCTACTATTAAGTGTTTTGAAAATCTGGAAAAACTTCAGGCAAAGCTGTGTTTGTTTTGAATATAGAGGGTAGTATGAGAAAGAGAAAGATCCTCAATGAGATAAATTGATCAATGAGTGCTGCAGTGAGCTCAAGCAAAGATGGTGCAGTTTTGCATGTTTTCATTTTATAGTCTGTAGGATTGCTGTGAGTTGGAGGTGACTTGATGGCACCTAGCAACATGATTGAGATATATCTCTCATATCTCTATATCTCTATATCTCATATATATAGATATAAATTTCTAAATAAAAACAGGATATATGTAGGTAAAAAAAGTTACTGAAAAGAATTGGAGAGTTGGAAATTATGAGCATCTTTGAAAGTAAGTTTGTTTATGTTGAGTAGATTCCATAATAGGTATAGATTAAAGATATTTGTGGTGGTGATGGAGGGGTGTGTGTGTTTGCGTATGAGTTCTTAAATCATGAGCCAAGATAATTTGGTTTTATTCTCTACATTACTGTTTTAAATCATAGATCATGTGCTCAAATAGAATTTTATCTACAAGCCCAGAATACTAAACTGGAATAGGAGTTCACTCAAAAGCATAACCCCATTTCTGTTGAATCCTTTCCGGTTCATGGTGACCTTCCACTAGGTTTTCAAGTTTGGATAAATCTTTTTTTTTTTTTAATTATTATTAAATTTTATTGGTTTTGATGAACATTTACAGAGATTTTGGGTTCTCATTCATTCATTGTTGCACTGTTTTCTCTACCCTCCTCCCCAGTTCGTTCTTCTCCCGCCCCCCCCCGCAAATGTCTGTTTTAATTGTCCTATTGCCACAGTGCTTGTCAAAGCCAGTTCTGATTAATCTCCTTTGTCATTGTGCCCTTTGCCATTCCCTATCACTCCTCCCTGAGAGAGACTTCACCCTGATTCATAAGGAAAATGGGATGGTGTATTCTCTTAGCTACTTCCTGCTGAAAAGGGACACTGTGGGTTTCAGGGTGAAGATCTTCTCTCACTACTCTAAAGGGCCCCTTTGGCAGTAGGAAACACATAGACTGTTACGGAGGTTGATTTTGGAATTTAGATGCACTGTTATTAATTGTGCTTAGCCATACATGTTCATATCCTTGAAGATGTATCATGGAGGTGTTGCAACCTAGAAGACACAAATTTAACTAACAAGTTAAAAGTACATGAGTCAAAAATTAACAAGCAATAATATTCCAAGTAGAGGTTCTAGTAGTGGCACAAATCAAGTTACAGAAGGAAGGTGGTTCTTACAATAAAAGGCCTATAGACTAGCACTTTGTCTATTATAGTGTACAGGTTAGGAACCACAAGATGTAGAGGCTCAGCTATGTCATTTATGCTTCTTAAGTCCTGGAGCAAATTCCATCTACCACTGGGCTGTTTTACAACTTGGAAGTTCACATGCAAGGTAGAGGTGAAGTAAGGAACTGCTTATGAGGTTTCCCGTCCATTCCAACAACTAAGAGATAGAAGAGTTGGGACCTCAGAAGGCTTTTAGGACCAATTAGTAGGCTCTGTGTCAAGGAGAAAATGAATATACTTACCAGTAATGTTAATGCTCACCCTCAGCTCTTCTGGGAGGATCTAAATGGTTGAAGCGTCCTCCTTTGTTTCCAGCTGGGAGCTGGGGCCTGTAAGTCTTGTCTGCCACAAGGACCTGATGTGGGCCACCTTGGCCAAGTGTCCTTCAGAGTCACACTTAAAGCAAGTGAGTGGGAGCTTCCTCTCTACTCCCTTGCATATCTTTGGCTCTCGTCTGTGGCACTGTCTACTGAAGTGACCCAGCTTTCCACAGTGGAAGCAATTCTGACCTCCTTTATTACCTTTGGATGGCACTGTATATGAGTAAGACTTCCTTTTTCTGACACAGGCCCTAAACTGGCAGCAATAGCTGCCCCAATAATTTTGGCCATTCTCTGGTATTTTCTCTTCCCTTTAGATCCCAGTTGAAGTTTGGATAAATCTTGACAGGAGCAGACTATCTCAGCTTATCTTGTAGTATGCCTGGTGGATCCAGACCTCCAGCCTTCTGGTTAGCAGCCACAGCACATAACTGAACTCCCAGTATGCCTCCCAAAACTAAAATGAACCCAACTACCATTGAGTCAGTGCTTCCTCCCAGCAACAATAGTCCATTGGATTTCTGAGACTGTGGCTCATTAATGGGAAAAGGCTTTTTTTTTTTTTTTAATTAACAAATAGGGCAAATGCATGGTATAACTTATTAATTAGAAAATATTTGCACCAGAGTATCATTCTTTCATGCAGTGACTAGTAAGTTTGAACTGCTGACATTTTGCTTAGGTGCCTAGTACTTAACCAACAGTTAACTTACTGTGCCATTAGTGCTCTTAAAATCTCTTTAATTAATCAGATTTTTTTAAGCTTCCCCTGAAGTAACAAACTTCTAGGACTCTCCAGAGTGTAGATGAAAACATTACTCTAGATAACAATTAATTCTAGAAGATTCTTGAGTTACTACTAAAGAATATTACTTAGATAATTATAGAATAGTATTCGATAAAATAATAGTTGGCAGGATAGCTTGAATAGTGAGTGACCAATACAGTGTACTATTGAACTGTAAACTTTACTGTACGCATAAGAGGACAGCAAAGAAAGGATTGATGATAAAATGCTTTAACAGGAGAAATGACCAGATTATTTGATTAAATATTTAAATGGAATGAGGAAATACAGGATGAATGGAATTACCTTGAACATTATCTTTGTTATAAGCTTAATGGAGAATATGTAAAAGACATTGTTTTTAAAGAGTTATAATCTAGCTAAAGAAACAAAATTTGAAAAACCAGATCTTTAATTCTTGCACTATTACTGTTTTGCAGAGACTTAAGAGTTAGAGCAAAGCAGTTTTGCATATTTTGTGATTCTGTATAAGATGATATGTACAAATACACCTGAAAGGTTTTCAGACTTTCTTTGCTATTGAAATGGAAAAAATGGTTTAGGTAAGTTTCTTTGGCTATGTAAAACAGAAACTTACTTACCAATGTAGTAGACTTGTCATTATATAATGAATAAGGTACAGACAGCCCTCAAATTGTGAATAAGCTCTAAGTTCTGTCAAAGGCTGTCTTTAAGTCTGATTTGTATTTTAACTTGGAACAGATAGGTACAGTTTGTGTCTAATGTCAGTCATTCACATGTCTGTCCTATTCTACTCAGAAAAGAACATTAAAAGAAACATTGCCAGATAGACTAAAACATCTTTAACACAGTACAGTAGTAAATAATACAGTAATAAATAATAAATGTAAAAATGTGGGATTTTTATACAATATTTT